TACTTCGTCAAACAATTCTAAAAACATGAAAAATGACACATTCAGAGCCAAAAAGTCGACCCTCGACTCGACATACGAGGCATAAAAGTAATAATCAAAGACATACCTTTCCATCTACCCTCAAGGGCAAGAGTGCGATTGATAACGATGTCAATTTCAGATGCTCCACTATTTATAGCGAAATCTATTTCTTCTAGTCTGGATTTTAACGAGTACTGTCCCGATGGAAACCCAGTGGCGACTGAGGAAAACTGTGAGAGCAGTTAGTAAATACCTGCTGCGATTGGGATGTCAGGAGCACCTATTTGTCGTAAGTAATTAGCTGCTGTCTCAACCTGATATGGATATACGCAAATGGCGGCAGTCCCTGTCAAATAAGGAAGTTTCAAGGTAACTTACTAACTTCTTCTGGTTTGACGGCATACTTTTCATTTAGTTTGTCGAGTATTGGAGTACTTAGAGGACGTTTTGCTTTTGCACATAACCTGGCGACGTTTGCTGACGTATCGTCTCCAGCAAGCGTTGTAAGGTCTATAGAGCCCACCGACCGGAGAAGCCACTGAATCTAAAGCAGGAAAAATGAAACCTGAGGAGGAAAGTTACTTCTGCGTCGCCCTTTAAGACAATGGAACTCAGATCACTTGAGTTCCGGTTAATGTTCGCCGCATCAATTGTCGTAGAGTGTAAGAGATCATTATCTACAGTAGAGATAGGCAAAAAAATCGTCGATACCGAAAGAACAGATCACATTCGATTTCATGGTGAGCGAGTCGACCTTGAAATGTAAACGTCCACATCGGTGTACAACGCAGATAAACACCGGAGACGCCTAAGATTGGCCATAAGCCAAATTATGAATATCTGAGTTTGTGTTAAGGCGATTAAAGCCTGAAATATAAGCTCGTATTTTACAGCGATCATTTATGGTACAACATTTAAGCTGAATGCCGAAACGCTTAGCAAACATATAGAAAGAGGAATTGGAGCTGGCGCTGCTAACAATACAAGGCGCGACTGATTGCGAGCTGCATGAAGAAAAGACTAAAGAGTGCATAACGGATAAATCCCGGTCATTGTAAGGGATTTCAGAGAACAAATACGAGCAGCGAGTATGGTTTCGCGGAAGTATGGACAGTTGTTAGGTCAATTTATTCTACCCTTCTTTAATTAATTGATTTGTCCGCCCGTTCCCTATTCAGTTGCTTTAATGAACATGACCTTAATTAGATGTCCCTGTTTACTTCTATGCTTGGCACATTAAAATTAAAATATCGCCGACAATACAAGAGCATTGCAGCGCCCACTGAAACCAAACGCATTTCTCAATCAGTAAAAATATGCCTAATTAATGTGACAACATAGTCTGTTTGGCGTTGTGACATATGTCTATTAAGGCCATGTTCGAATGTTTTCCAGGCTGGAACACCATAATCGAGGCAGGCAAACTGCTGCATAGTGCGCCACTCGGTCCAAGACAGTATTTTTCTAGCATTTCCTGAGACGCAAGTGCTTTTACGGGATTTTCATTGTGATCTCTTATAATAGCGATTTGCGTGAATATTGCGGCCGTTATAATAAAAGGGATTAAAAGCCATCTCACAAGCTTTGCCACAATATACGTACAGCGTAAATCGAACAAACAGTGGAAAGACCTGGTGTTGTGGTGCAAAGTTGGTCTTGTCTCGTATATTAAGAATGCAAGGGATCACTGGAATAACCCCAGAGAAAAACCGCAATCGGAGAAATGACGGTAACCTAAAGCAGCATCCGCGCCAAAAGGATAGCGGGATGCCATTTGTTCCGTTCCTTTGCACTTTGTTGGCACGCTGAAGCAGACAATAAGCAGAAGACTGAACAACTGTCCGCCGCCGGCCGTATAACTTCATCAGATGCGTGACAGACTGTAGAGTCAGCAGTGTTCTTTGCGGGATTTAGCAAGATAGAGGGGTCAAACGCCAGGAATTCCGTCACTAAGAGAAATGATTCGTGGAAATTGCGCTGGGTGTAGAACACAAACGCTAGTTTACATTTATCGGATCATCGTGGGCGCCCTACGTTGCACCAACACAAACATGTGTGCATACATAAAAACAATCATCGCAAGCAGCTTACGCGCGATTTCGAAGATTTGCATGAACCCTCTATGCAGCTTCCATTGACCACTAATCCCAAACTTCTTCCCCAAGAAACTAAAAAACTAACGAAACAACTACACGACCCCTAAGCGAGATATATATCCCCACTCCGACTAATTAGAGAAATTCACGACCTAGTTACTAAAGTATAAATACAAGGGATCATAGCAGCAGAACGCCGGGTGCTAGAGCCCCCCGAAAGAACAGTTCGATTTCCTCAGAAATGAACGAATAATCACTGAGTGTCAGGACCCAAAATTATGCTCGCTGAATTAGGACAGTCTATAACAACCGTCAGGCCGATAGAGAACTTATTTAAATGCATATATAGTCGATGACGAACCGATCCCCAATCGACCGAGATGACAGACCGCCCCCTTAGTGAAGTTTGTTTTCGTGAAGAAACTTTCAAAAAAGCTATCAAACACCTACTATGGAACGTACAAAATCCCACCATGCATTCTGAGGCACACGGTGTGTGCCCAAATGTTCTTGTGTAAGCTATTCGCCCTTCTCTATTCAAGTTCAATATTTCTGGACGTTTGGAAATACTTCAGCATCTCACCTATCTTTAAAAACGGAAGCCGATCTGATGCCCAAAGCTATCGCGATGTCCACGGAACAACGCAATGGCTAGGATAATAATAATAAGCTTTGATTAATGACCCGTGGGAGTCCGTTCATAGCAAGTAAGAATATATTTTTACAACACATAGAGGGAATCTGCGCCATACTTAATTCACAGTTATCAAATAAGTAGTCTGTCACGAAGAATGATGAGCGATCCGTGAAAAAGCTCCTAGCAGATTAAAAAAATGGATATGAGTGGATTAACATTATGGGAGAAAACCTGGCGCTCATGAACGGATAAAAAGCGGGCAGGTCTGACATGCATGTGGCAGTGTATAACGGACTCCATGTAGGGATAAGAATGCGGGTCAGACAGGAATGGCCTATGTGCGGTAAGGAGTAAAAGGTTCCGAACGAACATTATCAAGACAGAATTCATATGTCGGACGAGGCCATTCGCGTCGAAGTGGCGAGACGCGAGGAACCCAAACGCGATCGGTCACACTCCGCTAAGAGTCTAGCCGAGGCGTTGGCAAGGGAGATGCATCCAAACTATTAGTACAGAATACAGAGGGTTCCTCCAAGAGCGTCGATAGAGCGCTTTGGATCGAAATGAGGAGACAACCTCAAGAACCACACAAATCAACTCTGGCGGGGGGGGGGTGGGAGGTGAGGGCTCGAAATCACGGGGCCGGGGCAGAATCCTGATGGGTGTCGGTAATTGGCGAAAGTGAGGCGACTTACAGCGTGTACGGCAACCTAG